CCCTTACAAACATAACAAATCCATCGTAGAAGGGGTGTAGCATCAATAAGAATTCCAGGTCATCTAATCAGTTATCTTAGTACGCATTACCATAAACAGGCAGTATAAATTAAGTAGACTTGTGTTATCCTAGAGGTTGTGATAGATAGGAGGCAAGAAATTTTCAACTTCTGGAATTAAACAATGAGTACATGTTATGCCAAATTGGTTAAGAAAAAATAGATCATACAGGGAGGAACTTGAATATCAAAACGACAACTATTTGCAAGCAATTTCACATGTTTAAAGAGCTAGGTACATTAAAATATATACTATCCGCCTTATGACTACTTATAGCAGGTCTTATCAAAAATGCTGGCACAATATTGACGTGTAAATAATTTTTTTACATTTTGGAAAATTGATAAAACATTCAAATCAGATATAAAGCAAACCTTCAGGCACAGTTCATGCTCTATTTTCAATTGCTTGTCATTACTCCTCTTCATGCTCTTTTCAAGATCGTCAATCCTCTTCTCTAAGAACTCAGCATCCTAATGCACATAAAATAGCATTAAAATGTTATCTCAATAACAAATTAAGTTTTCATGAATTTCACTCAAAAGTCAAAATATTGTTGGGAATCAGAGATATAAGAATAATGACATTTAATGTATCTATTGTGATGAAAGCTCACCAAATGCTGAAAATGGTAGGCAAGATTACATTTCTCTCGCCAATATTTACTTTATTTAGATCTTGCTCTCAAGGCTCAGGAAAATAAATAGGAATATTCTAACTTCATTGATGGTGTCCAATTTGAGCAATAAAAATAAGTAAATTAGCATTTAAAACTTAAAAGGTTTTCCAATATTTCATGCATACATGATCCATGATCCTAGATGTGAATGAATGCATCATCTGTTAATTTGTTTTAAGCTTTCCTTTATCCTTCTTTTTTTTGAATTTTTTAAAAGGGAAGGACCAGCTTCCAATTTTCTTCCCTTATATCATACTCCCACCATCCTGCTATTGTTGAGAAAGGGGGGAAGTGGCACACAGATTTAACAAAAGTGCAGTTGTGTGGTTGATATTAAAACCAAAAAGAAAGAATAAAGGTGACTCAGACATATGTTACATTGTGGCTAAATATGGTATATCTGTATGGGACAAATTTAGTGGGACAGACAAAAAATGAGAAGGGATAAAAAAAGGGATTGAGGGAATAGTTAATTAAGCAGTAAGGGGCCACTAGCTCTTGTGAAAATGGATACAAAGCTCAGGGGTACATGGAGAGGCAAGAACTTTTGTGGAAGTGTGTGCATTGAGTGTTTATACTGTGATTTTTGCTAGTGATGTCATCCAAGTAGGAGAGCATGAGACAATGAGAGATGTCTTACCACACAATATATGGTGCTTAGACCTTAGTACTATCATTTTATCCTTGTAAGGAGGTGATTAGGCATGACTTAGGACTTTATTGTGTCTCTTTGCGCTTCTCCTGCCCTTAGTTTGCTCTTAATGTTCTTTGTTGTGCTATGTGCTTTCTGTATTTTTTGAGCCAGGGGTCTGTTGGAAACATCTTCTCTACTTTCACGTAGGGTTAAGCTATGTGTACACACACCCTCCTAGACCCTACTTTGGTGGGATTCTAATGGGTTGTTGTTGTACTATCATTTTATCCTTCAACTTGAATAAGATCATAAAATATTTTGACATTAAGTTTATTCCCTTCTTTTGTATGTCTCAGATCAGTCAAATGGTGTAATTTAAATCCATTGTTAGCGTAAATCAACTAATGTGGCATATCAATGATGTGAGTGCACTTGCCCTAAAAACAGTTAGATGCATGATTTACTTGGTGCATAGGTATCTCTTGTAGTAAAAATGAAAAGCAGTTAAGCACACAACTTAACTATCATTTTATCATGTATTCAACATGTATAATGTCTGGATCTACAGAATATACCTTAAGCCTCAATTCCTCGCTAATGATCTCTAGATCTCTCACCGGATCTACAGAATCATCAACATGTATAATGTCTGGATCTTCAAAGGCTCCTGTGAAAATAAAACTTGTACTAAGACAATCGCTACAACAGTGATCAGCACTGATCTGTAAATGCATTCCACAAATAATGGACAATGGTTTTTTCTGGAAAATTTTGGAAAAATTCTGGAAAAGAAGAATACCCTACTAGATTAATGAACCGCAACTCAGGACAGATTATTCTCAACCATAACTACTAAATTATTCTCATTGTAAGAGTTTTGCAATATTCATTGTAGAATCCATCCATAAACATGATACAAGCCTTCCACACAGACACACTAAACATCTACATATAGTAACTACTAAGGTATACGGCTTTTTGGTATCAAGTGGGCCCTGGGTGACATACACTTACGCGATGGGGTCCTGGTATCATATAGGGTGCATTGGTGTATTTACACAACAAAGCAAGGGGAAGAAAAGAGAAAAACATCGTACTTAAAACATGGAAAATGCCATCTACTGCACGGATGTGAGATAAGAAACTATTCCCCAGCCCTTGTCCTTCATGAGCACCTCGAACAAGTCCAGCAATATCATGAATTTCCAGGAAGGCTGAAACCTGATCATCCATAATGAAAAAATTAAACACAAGGTAACAGATAACAGATTCCACACATAATTCTAAAACTCCACTTAGAAAATTTAGTTTTAAAAAACATAAACCACATGCACTTTGAGGCATGAAATATTTATATTCAGATACAAACCTCGCTCTTCGGCTTGTGAAGTTGGCAAAGCCATTCAAACCTCTCGTCCGGGATATTAACTCTAGCCTCATTGGGCTCAATCGTGCAAAACGGGAAGTTCTCGGCTGGAATAGACAGCTTAGTAAGTGTGTTAAAAAGAGTGGATTTCCCTACATTTGGTAATCCAACCTGAAACATGAAAAGTTTACATTGTGTAAATAAATAAATAAATAAATAAATAAATAACAATAAGCTCTCAATGATGTGCTTAAAACGATAAACGACTACAGGCAGGTAAGATCAATAATAACCACACAATCACATAGGAAAAGCAGAAGCAGACTCAGGAACAGCATGATGGAAATGAATAGTAGCAGTTTTTCACAGCAAGCAATTGGGATGTTCGCAACTAAACGCACAGGAGGAATCAGAGTTCACGAGAGGGAGAGAAATTACGATTCCGATCTTGAGGTGAGACGAGAAGCGGCCAAGAATGGGCCGCTCAGTCGGAGCATCTTTGCCTTTGGCAGCTTTCGGAGGCATCTCTTTAGCAGCTGGGAAGATTTGGAGAAGACGAAGGAGAGTTCAGATGTATATGGAGAGGTATAGGGTTTAGCGATCGTAGTGCTGAATTTTGCGGATTCGCGGCTCCTCAACGGCGGCGGAGCAGAGCGGCTGAAATGAGTGATGACGGGGAGCGCTCCGACAAATCGGATGCGTCGTTGGGCTGCTTGGAGTCTTGGACTGACCCGTAGCTTTACATGGGCCACACAACTCTGAGAAGGTTTGGTTGAACCAAGGAAAACAAGAAAAAGTAATAGAAAATATTTTTGAAAAACTATTGATGGATACCTGAGAATGGGGGCATCCAGCCCAACAGGAAAGCGGCCCAGCCCAATCATGCCAAGGCCCACCTAGTTCGGCAAGAGCAAGAGGAAGCTAAACCCTTGGGAAGGCCACCTCTGCATCAGGTCACGCTCGGCCTCGGCATGGTTGGTCGTCCTCGGACCACCCTCGGCCGGCCTTCCATCAAAGGACTTTGGGAAGCAGATCATGCGCACTCGGCCTCGGCCTAAGGCGTCAGCAGACCAGACCCAGACATGGGAGCTGCCTAATTAGTCAAGATCAAGGGGCCCACGATTGGACCTCTGCCATACCTCTGGCAGAGTTGTTCTAGCCACCCTATTTGTAACCTATTTTGTATAACAGCCCTAGGGATAATGATGTGGTTAGGCGCCGCCAGTGAACAACCCAATCTTAGTGGGGCCGAACCGTTGGACTCCGGACCAACGGTCGGGAACCCTCTGTTGTAGTTCGCATATAAACCCTTTCTAGAGGGAGGGGGAGCTACGTTCTCACTAGCACAATAATACTTACAACTTACTTGATTCCCAACTTGTACACTCTCGACTCAGTTCGATACTCTTCCGCCTAGTCTCCTAGGCCCTGGGTTCCTTAACCCAACAACTATTTTCTCTCAAAAATGAGAAAATAACTTCATTTAGGCCATGTTCTTTTCGGTAGGAATTTTAGAATTGGATGTTGGGAGAAATTGTAAAAAGTTTGAAAAAAACAGGAAGGAATTGGAAAATGTTGAAGAAATTTAAGTGTTAAAAAGTCACTCAATTAAATGATCATCTAAATAAATATGTAACAAAACTCTAATTTTGGATAAAAAAAAAGAACTCATCATTGTCCATGTTTGACTTGATATGTTATAAATTTAGATATATAATATTATTTTATACTAATTATTATATATTAATATCTTTTAAGTCGTTGTTGAAGGAAACATGAATGAGTTTAGGCAACGTTTCGTTCAAATTATTTTTTCTGCTTATTATTTATTCTTATTAAAATCAGATCAGATTCAATCAAATCAGATCAGATTAGATTCAATCAAAAATTATTATTATTATTATTATTACTCCATACTTTTTCGTATTTCATACTTTTAAATATGTAAGTTTTATTTTTTTATTTCTAAACCAATATTTAAATAAAATACATTGAAAAAATTTGGGACTTTTTTCGTTTTGTGCAACGTAAAGAAAGATATGGGACGGAGAGATTACATTTTTATTGGTACCTCTAATTCAAAGCATTTGTCAAGTTTTGATTTTTTACCATCAAAATTATTCAAATTTGATCACGAGTGAAATAAAATTAACATTACATATTGGTATAATTTTTTAAAAAATAAACTAAAAAATTAAAATAAATTTAAAAAAATAAATTAAAAATAAAATATAGAGAAAATATCAAGAGATGAGATAAAATTTTGTATTACAATTCAAATTAACCAAATGAAAGAATGTCAATAAATGAAATAACCATTTCCAACAACAAACATTTGAACTACAATGCACCTTAATTAAAATTTAAAACTAACCTGTCTACTACAAATGAAATATTTACCACATAACCTATCTGATATCATTTCCCAGTCCCTTTTCGTTCTGGCCATTCCATTTCGCTCTGCGCAGCTACTCCAGCCCTCTTCCATTCAGCGCGACACTCCACTGCTCCAATTAGGGTAAATTTTAAATTTTTTATTTTTCGGTCGCTATTCTCTATGCTAACAAATAAATTAACTTGACCAATTAATGATTTAAAATGGCCATGTTCCATGACTAGTAGGTTTATTTTAAATTATAATTTTGCAAGATTTGTCTTACATGAATAACACTTGTGCGAGATTTGTGTTACACATCCTATTGTGTCCGAACTAATATAAACATATTCAGAAAGTCCCAATGTAGGGGGAATTTATGCACACGTGACCTTCGTCCTTTAATTAAAGTAAAATTTTAATGTACATTTAGAAGGGATGATTGCAAAGATCCAAAATATCACCCCTATGAAGAGAAGAAAGAAAATCACTGCCGTCTTTGCAGCATGTGCATACTGCATATGGAGAAGTAGGAATCAAAAGCTGCACAAGAATATTTTCGTCTCAACAGAGGAAGCATTTCACTAGATAAAGGGTCATGTTAGCACCTTCATGCGGTCAAGACGATCAGAAGTAGGAGGATAAGATGGATGCTTGAAGTATTACAATTTACTGTATTCTGTTTATGATGTAGTAGGCTTGGAATAGAGTACTCTTGTAGCTGGTTTGAATATTGGAAGATGAATAAAATTTCTGCTTTCGGTTCAAAAAAAAAATTTAATGTACTCCGTATGTGCTTTCATATTGTTTGAAATGCCAAATAAATAATATTCAGATCACTGGGGGATGACACAGCTTAGACATTTGAAGAAAACACAAATAAGGTGTAGTTTTTCAAAACACTAGTAGGCTGTTTGTTTAGACATATTATGCAAATATTAAATGTGCATACAAAGTGGCGTATGTTAACTTTTTATGTTATCCATTGCGAAGTACTAATGGCGCATTAAGAGAGAATGACATGGGATAGTTTGGATACGAAGAAACTTTTGGAGATTTGTATCCAACAAAAGGCGGGTTCAAGTGGACGCAAGACAAACTGGTATAAAATTGTTCAAAGTTTAAATGTAGCAACTACAAAAAATTTCAATGAGAAGAAGGCTAGAACAAGTATGATGACTTGAAAAAAATGTATAAAATTGGGAATGAGATGGATTTACAGTGGACAGGGCTTTCCTTTGATCTTGAAAGTAGATGTCCACAAGTTGAAAAAGATGACCGATGGGCTGGAGACGACACGTTGCTTCAATCTAAAGTTAATTTACCGGATGTGTTTTATCTAGAGTGCCATGCTCTATTTCCCTTTTTCAATTCAAAACTAGTAAGAACCTATGTAACAAGATCCTGGATTGTTTCAAAAAAGGTTGAAGATGAAGATGTTTTTGGTTATTTGTTGCTAATATCCAATTGTAAGCATATTGTGTTGGAGATTCTCGCAGCTGGTCTATGTGAAGATGAAAGACTCACTTTCGCCCCACGTCATGATTATATGGTGAAAGTTGTTGATACTTCAATTCACAACATGAATTTGAGGGATCGAATCCTCAAAGAAACTACAAGTGGAAATTTGTGACATTGCATAGATGAAAATCGAAAGCAAAAAACTTCTAGGAGGAAAAGTATCTGAGGAAACTATAGAAGAAGATGTAATAGAAGCTCTTGAAATAATATTCCAATAGTAAAAAAACTTGATCAAAGCAAAAAACTAAGAAAAGGAAGAAGCTAAAAAGCCTATCACTGTCGTTGAGACATTGTAATGCTAACGTACCTTCTTTTTCCCCTCTAAAGAAAAAATTAATTGAAGGATGGCTCAACAACATCTAAATCAACTTTTAAAGAAGAAAAAAGTTGCTATGAAATTCGATGGAAAGTTTGGGAAGTGCTTAGTTTTACTACCTTTTGTTGCCACTAATGTCTCTACTTATATGCTTTTTAGGCTATCTGTAAAACTCCAGCATAACTGTTATGAAATTATATTGTTGCCACCATGATAAATGGGGGAACAAGCTCAAAAAAATAAGATCAACTTCTCCAACTTAGGTAACCCGTGAAACACCACCAAGAACCTGAACCAAAATTTAAAAGGGAACAATCACACAAGTCAAATATTAAACGTAGATTATCACAGGTAGACAATATATTATCTAACTTACACACATAAGAATGGAAAATAATTCAAAGGCTCGAGTTGAATTATATCTTTGACCACATATAGAGGATTGTCAACTCTCTATATGGCCCGTAGTCATGTAATTCAAAGGCCCATTTTGAAAAAACACTTTGAAGCCCAACTCTCTCCAAGCGCTCAAACAATGATTCCAAAAGAAGAAAACGTCTATAAAAGAGTGAATCTTTTTTTCATTTTAACTCTCATGCATAATCTATTCACAAACCGCCAACATATTATGCACTTTAATAAACTTTAATGTCTAATGGGAAAATTTTTTGCAGGTCTCCATGAACAACTCAATCACATAAGAAAACGTTACATATTTTCATTAAATCAAGAGTTATTTATTGCGCTTAAAAGATCCCAAATTTTATGAAATTAACAAACAAGAACACAATGACATAAACAATCACTCAATAACAAATTTTAAGGAAAATATCTAACTTACAGGGTTAAGAAGTCCATAAATCTAAAATTTTACTAACTTATGGGGTTAAAACTGTAAGTGTAAAGATCAATAGGTAGAATCAGCCTTGTGGATCTCGATGAAACTCCCTCAAACCTAGACCACACAATCTCGTGACCTTCCCTTCACCGATTATCCGTTTGATCTGCACACCATCTTGCAGCGCTGCTACACACCTGCGGGACACGTGGCCAGACCTTCTTCTGTCGGGAGGACTTTCGACACAAGGTAAAATGCAGACCTCTAATCCGCTAAAGTCACACCGTTTGATTTGCCAAATCATCTAGCTTGTATTGCCGCTAACACCGAATAGGAAATGCCTCCCGACCATCACTTGTCAGGAAGACTTTCGATACAAGACACAATCTGCAAACCTTCGGTCATGTTCTCACACCGGGCACACCGAGAAGCTTGCATAACGCAATCTGCCACTCCTGTCCTCATGAACTTGGGCTCCGATACCACGTGTTGTGACTGCGCGTGTCCTTACCCCAACCGTGCATTAGTATGGTTTTGTCTATTTTCGGCAAAGCCACACCGATTTTTTTTTGTCATCTCCAAAAAAACCTCATACTAATGAGGTAGGAATTGTAGGTTAATCATATTTATTTAAGTCATTTTTGTTCTCTACTTTGGAGGTGAGATGGAGTTTGCATCTCAACATTTATTACCTATATATGTTAAAGAAAATGGGTGTCTTAGGGTTTGGTTTTCTAAATTCAAACATATGACCCCAAAGTTACATAAAAATAGTTGATCATAACTCAATAAAATTCGATCCAAATACAAGTAATCAAAAATATATAAGAAAATGGAAACACCAAATCATATGTAATATTGACTCTTTTTTTTTGTTCCGAGGTGTACAACGGTGAACATCATCAAGTTCTCATTTAGGGGTGGATCTGAACACTAAAATAATGCCAAAATACATGAATAGATTAATGATTATGGGAAGACCTTTATTAATTAGATGACAAGCAAGTTAACAATGCGATAAACAATTTCAGGCGTCAAGGGCTTAGCGAAACAATCATTGAGACCAGCCCCCATAAACGCACCCATATCTGCTTCAGGCCCATGAGATGTCACGCCCACTATCGTGCTCTTCACACCCATCTCCCGTAGCTCCCGAGTAGCCTTCATAATGCGCAAGAAACTTAAATTCTTTATAATAATAATAATAATAATAATAATAATAATAATAATAATAATAATAATAATAAAGTCAAACTTGATGAATTCTGAAGCTCAATTAAGTAAAAACGACAACTTTATTAAATTTAGCTTGTACTGTTTAGAATTTTCAAAATTGAATATCATTATATTAATATGCAATAGAAATTGAATGTAATTGAAGATTAAAGTTTGTCCAGTTTGACTAAAAAAGTCAAACTAGACAAATACTCTGGGACGGAAAAATATATTTTATCTTCGTCCCTAAAAGCTAGATTTCATGTTCTCCTTTTTTTGACATCTCATAAAAGACTTCAATCCATCATAAATAATGTTCAAAATACCTTTAAAACAAGTTTTACCTATACTAAAGGAGAAATGAGGTAATTTTTTATATCATAAATTTGAATAGAAGTATTTTATAAAATGCATAAAAATAAAGGAAGAGCGTCCTTTTGGAACAGGGAGAGTAATAACTACAGAGCATAATAAACATAGTGTAAAGAAAGAGCATCACATGGGTGAATTATAAAATTAAATGAGTAATTTAATTTACACAGTGTGACTTAAACATATCATTATTCCACAAATATAATAAATCCTTTTTATTATAATGTTTGGCAATAGGAAATTTTAAAATGTTCTGCTTTTGAAAATATGAATGCTTCGTTAATAGCCGGAAAAATAACAAATATCCAAAATGACTATAAATGGATATTAATAATGTACTCTGTTAATAAAAAAATGAACTATTATGTAATTCAAGTAGAAAAATTTGGTGTGATAATAATGATGGCTATCCCTCAAGTCGAGTAATCGCTATCGCTTGATTGAGAAAATTGAGACAATCAATTTTAATACTCCGTAGCATTATACCGCCTCTGTCCTATGATATAGTACGGTGAACCCACACGCCCATATGAGTTTTGTTAAGCTTTCAATTAATGCTTGTATTTCATTTCATAACCCATAAAATCGGAATACAAAAAGTTTTTTTAAAAAAAAATTTGTATTTTGAGCGTACGTAAAAAGAAAGAAGAAAAACCCATGGGGAACCATGATGAGCAAAAGATTGATGTTAAATAAAATATAATCATTCCCTCTCTAAAAGATTATTACAGTTTGACTTTTTTAGTCAGATTCTTTAAGTACGAATTAAATATAACTTAAAATAATTAAATATTATAAAAATTTGATATTTTAAAAATAAATTTTAGAATAAATCTAATTTTACTAAATTTGCATTATAATTAAATATACTTTTTTCATAATTCATAGTCATAAGATGCCACAGTTTAATTAAAAAAATTAAATTGTGACAATCTTTTAGAATGTAGAAAGTAAAAGAATATCATTATAGAAACTCTTTATTTATTCTTAAAATTAGAATTACAATATCAATAATATCAACATACTTCCTCCTAACCACAAAACCTTTCTAATTTTAAATTTTAAAGAATTTAAGAAAAATGTATTTTTTAGATGTGATGAGTAAATTAAAAGTGAAAAAGTCTAATGTAATAATTAGATCAAAATTAATATGGGTAAAGGAAAAATTTTTTTTTGAGACGGATAAAAAAAGGAAAATAATTTTGTGAGACGAAGAGAGTATAATGATTAATGTCAATTTATAACTGTGTAAATTACTATTTTGAGATAAAAATATGTAATTCTTGTTTTGAAGATGAAAATATATATATACTCCTTCCGTCCCAAAATTGATTACAATTTTTTCTCTCCTCTCGATATATTTTGTTTATCTGTGTGTTTTCATTAAGCATTTGATAAAATAAAATATTCTTATTACCTCTCATTTTGTAGAATTTTTGATGTAATTTTTTAATCTGATTAAAACTGATTACAACTTTTTTCTCCTCTCGATATTATTTTGCCTCCTAACTCCCAATTATTTTGCACTTGTTTTTAGGTGATTACTTACTTTAAAATGTGAAAATATGAATGAATTGAATGAAAAAGTTATTGCTTTGGACTCTTGGAGGGAAATAAATTAAAGAATAAAGAAATAATCATCAATGAAAAAAGAGATCGAATAAAGAGAGCAGCAGTAAAGGAACTACTGACAAGAACGCCATCCATGACGGGCATTTCCTTGTCCATGAGGACCAAATCGAAACGGGCGCCGGAGCGGCAGAGCACGACGGCCTCCTCCCCGTTCTTCGCCACCTGCGTCCGCAGGCCGTACCGGTCCAGCAACACCTTGTGTATCATCTGAGCCACCGGGTCGTCGTCCACCACCAGCGCCGACAACCCCTCTCCCACCACCACCACATCATCCTCATTATTTCTTGATCCCATTTCTCTTTTTTTTTTTTCCTTTGTTGTTTGGGAACTGAAATGATCGGAGCTGACCGGCCTGATATCTATATGTATGAGCTCAAACAAGCTAGGGTCATCGGCCTTAAATAGGTGGTAGAGATGGAAGAAATGATGGGATATGGTGCGTTCCCTATGCCCCACAAACTAGATCCGATCCAATTACTGTTGAGTCATTCAATATCCCTCCATCTTAAATGTGTTACGTCTCCTTTGTATTTTTTTTCTTTATTTTCGCTAATCATTTAATAAAATAATATAATTATTTATCACTAATTTTATAGATTTTTTTGATATAGTTTTAAAATATTGAATAAAGTTTTTATTTTTTAATGATATATCATTTTTCATATAAAATGATTTGAAAATAACTTAAGTCAAACATCGTAAATCAAAACAGACAATTTAAATTGAGGATGAAGGGAATATTTTTTTCACAATTACTTCCCTCGTCCCAAAAAAGACTGTAACATTATGCTAAATGTAATTTTACAAAACAAGAAGTTATAAAAATATTTTATTTTATCAAATAATCAATGAAAATGTCTAAAATAAATAAAAGTCTTAATAATTTTTAAAATGTTTTGATTTATCAAATAAATACTCCGTATTTTGATTTGTCTCACAAACTCCTTTAATTTTCATTTATATTAAAAACTACTTTTACATCATACTTTTTTTACTAATAATATACACACATCTTACTTTTACCCATCACATCAAGGATATTTTTGGAAAGTCAATACAAAAAAAATTTTCCTTAAATTTCCTGAAAGTCAAAATAGTAACATCGTTTTGGAACAAAAAAAGTAATAGCTAGGGTGATAAGTCTAGAGAAGGATAAAAAAGAATTTCAAAATTTTAATAATATTAAATTTGGAATTGAAGTGTAATAAATCCAAAAGGTGGTGAGTTTATTAATACATTTGATAATAGAGGTCGGTTCTAGAGCCACTTGAATCCAGTGGCTACGGAAGCCACTGCCCTCATACGGAGCTCCGTTCATGAAATTGATAATTCCTACCCCCTAACCCCACCGGTAAACCCCCCGCCAAGTCTCAACCCAAACTACTCCCCCCACATACGTCAATTGCATCTCGCAAGTGTAATTGACTTTAAAGTCAAAATTTTTGACTTTATACTTACGATTATTTGTTGACGAGCCATAGAGTGTCAACAAATAACACTCACTTATTTCGAACACCTCCGGTATTTTATTTATAAAATTGATGGTTCTTACTTCTCTAACCTCATTCTTAAAACCTTGCCCCCTCATTAGTCCACATTCATCAATAAATTATTTAACACGGATAACGATTTGTTTGAGACTTTATATTTATAACATACAAGTAATTGTAACATAAAATTAGATTCATTTCGTCCCAAAAGAGATATCACTGTCACTATTATAAATTTTCGATAACTTTTGTTTGTTTGTATGTGTTCATTGATAACTTGATATAATAAAATATTTGTGTTACCTCGATCTTGTTCTATAGAATTTTTATGTACTTTTGAATAGAGTAATTTATACTTTTTATTTACATCCTAATTTATAATTAAAATGATTTTAAAAGTGATGAGATTTTGCACATTATTTCAGAGTGTGACATCATTATGAGACGGAGAGATTATTGGATTATATTATCACTTTCTATTACACCTAAACTCTAACTCTTTCAAATATATCTTTGCCTCACATGAATATTTGTTTTAGAAAAAATGTTCGAATTAAAGTATGCATATATACATAAAATTCAAAACAGATTTTTTATGGCTAAACTCCACCATTGGTCCTTCAATTTTATCAATTATGCACGATTGGTCCTTCAAGTTTTAAAAGTCCATAAATAGTCCTTCAACTTATGAGTTATGCACGATTGGTCCTTCAAGTTTTAAAAGTGCATAAATAGTCCTTCAAGTACACGTCAGCCCTACAGATGAGGTCCTTTTGACAATAAAAGTTAAAAACTAAATAAAAACTAAATAAAATACTAGCTCCATATAAAATACTAATTTACTCGTATTATATGAAACTAGAATTTCGTTTAACTTTTAATATTTACTGTCAAAAGGACTTAATATGGAGGGCTGACGTGTACCTTAAGGACTATTTATGGACTTTTGAAACTTGAAGGACCAATGATGCAGAACTCATAAAGTTGAAGGACTATTTCTGAACTTTTGAAACTTGAAGGACCAATCGTGCACAACTGATAAAGTTGAAGGACCAATGGTGGATTTTAGCCGATTTTTTATAAAACAAATATTAATTCAAAAAAAAAATCTCGTAGATAGGGTTGGGCATTAGAGTGACAGTCACTGACAGCTAAACATGCATGTCCTCTATAATTACCTAGAAAATCCACAATTAAGGTGTTATGTAAAAAAAGTCCCAGTACGTTTTCAGCACACAAAAAGAAAAGGGTTTCCAGTTTTTAGTGCTGAAAAGAATGAAAAGTTGCAGTTTTCAAGAGAACCAAATCTTATTGTGATATCAAGAGAATCCCCAAGCCGACCTTTGCCATCAAGATCTCACTATATTTGTTGCTTCCATTTCTCTCCTAATTAAATTCTTTTGATCTTAACCTATTATTACTGATGATCCACTTAAGTAACTTAACGGATTTCAGAATCTAAGTATTTAAGAGAATTGTTCGGTATGGCTGCCCCGTTTTTAATTGGCTTTAAAATTTTCAAATATATTGTTCTCCCTCCCCCTTCCCCTGAATTAAATTCACATTAAACTTAAAAAAAATTTACATTAAATAAGATTAAGACATAAGTTAATTTACATAAAGGTCACCAATAAATTATAATGGCAATAACTAAAATTTTATAGTTTTATCTTTGAGTAAATTCCATAATTGCTCAACATGTAAACTTCCTTGTTTAGTAATCTATTATCAAATATTACCCGATAATCATTCTTTTATAGGTATTTTTCTACAAATAGTCTTTTTTTTATCTTCTATCATGTTGGATTTAATTTGAGGATTAAAAGTGTAATTTCACAATGATAATATATCTTTCTTGTCTTACACAATTTCAAAAACCGTTCCTGATGTGCCATTTGTGAATTACAGTCGCTTGCTACTAACACCATAATCTACAAATGTGGTTTTTCGTCAGAATCCTAGCCCACAGTTATAGTTATTATTTTTATGTTATCCGTCTGACCAATATAAAAATACGTTAGGGTTGACATCATATTATACTTTTAGTCTATAAGGCAGAAGATCAAAAAGGACCATTTGAGGAAAAACACTCATTAAAGAAGGACTGTATGGGTGGTATTTGATAATAGAGGACTAAATATGAAAATTCCCTTCTTATAAAAGACCAATTATGGAATTTACTCTTTATCTTATTATGCTTTTGACCATATTCATTTCTTGTTCAATTAAGCAAAAAATAATCACACATTCACTCCATTTTTCTAATTTTTCTTTTAAATCTTTTAAAATCAATTTAGTTAATATTTTAATTTAACTTTTTCTTTTATTATTTTATATATAAGAAATTATCCTGAGTAGGAGTAAACATAGAAAAATACCAAAATAAGAGCTCCATGTTTTTATTCTCTAAGTAGAAGTTCGTACTCTGGTAATGTGACATTGTACATGAGCATTTAACTATACTTATGTTTAATTTTAGTTTACTTTTATTCGGGCTTAGTCTAGATATTAATTAACCCTTTTAAGGTGTTGAGTTATATCAGTCTGAGCCATAAGATTATTTATATTTTAAATTTTAAATTTTAAATTTTAAACTTTAAGATTTAAATTTTAAATTTCAAATTTTAAATTTTAAATATTAAATGTTAAATTTTAAAATTTATATTTCAAATTTTAAACTTTAAACTTTAAATTTTATTTTTAAATTTATTAATTTTAAATTTTAAATTTTAAATTTTAAATTTTAAATTTTGAATTTTAAGTTAAAATTTTAAACTTTAAATTTTAAACTTTAAATTTTAAATTTTAAACTTTAAATATAAAAATTTTTACTATAAATTTTAAATTTTAAGTTTTAAACTTTAAATTTTAAACTTTAAATTCTAAATTTTAAAATTTAAATATAAAATCTTATAATATAAATTTTAAATTTTAAGGTTAAAATTTTAAATTTTAAATTTTAAATTTTAAATTTTAAATATTAACTTTTAAATATTAAATTTTAAATTTTACATTTTAAGTTTTAAATATAAATTTTAAACTGAAATGTCAAAACTATTTTAACAATACATTAAAACTCATCCCAAGTCAGACCAAAAGGTTTTAAGTATGAATTTAGTACAAAAATGTTGTATCGACAAAAATAATAATGTTGAGTTAATCTATTGGAAACAAAAAAAATCAATGGTAGGTGGACGGGACAGGGTAGTGGATGTAAGGAGGGTAGAAAGTGAGGAATGAGGGTGGCATGGTTGGAGAATGAGGGTGGTAGGTGTATGTAAGATCAGTTAGGGGTGGTGGGCGGTAGGGGGTGGGATGGGTGGAGCCGTGGAGGAAAAGGCCGGGTATGGAATTGATACGAGGAGCATGGCAAGCGAGGACGACCACACAGAATTTCTATCGGTCGAGGCTTGTGATAATGTGTCGCGTTGTCGAAGTTGCATAAAGAATATGTTATTTAATATTATTATTGTAATGCAATATTTTTATTAGGTGAGCAATTTATAAGTTTGTTCGAGGGTTTCTTTATGATTCTTTACCTCGTCGCTTTTTCTTGAACCGTTAGGATAGAAAACGTAGTTACTTAGAGTCACAGTTAGGGTTAGCCGATGAGCTTATTTATAGCATGTAATTAATCTCCTTCGTCAATGCATGTTTAATAGAAACCTCAATTTTGAATAGCGACGAGGTAAAGAACCGCAAAGAAACCATCGTACGAGCTTATAAATCACTCACCTAAAAATTAATTTATAATCATTAACAAAAGCAAAGTAAGTGAGTCGTTCGAACTACCACTTTCTTCCGTGGTTGCGTCCATGTAGTTTTGCGTTTCGATATCGTACTCTGGCTCTTGTGCTCGACGTCTCGCCAAGAGCCAATCTTGATTGCAAACTAGTATCTCTAGTGATTCAGCGTTGAGGCAACTCTAGACCTTAGTCAAAATGTTGCCACTAGAACTAAACTCATATTCAACAGCTACCGTTGACGCCAACATAGATAACACAAGTCTAGATAGCATTTCGAGTGAGTGGAACATGTCTTCAATTTGCTTCCACCATTTGAAGATGTCAAACTCATATTCGTGATCTTCTTCGTAGGGGCTTGAGACACCTTGGTACATCCCAAGATCGTCATTAATATTAAGAAAAAAACTAAAGTATGAGTAAAACATTAAAAATATTCCAAAATGAGATTTCTATATTTTTAATTCTGAAATAAAAGTTAAAATATATTTACATTATCAATTATTACCATATATATTACCAAAAAGTATTGTGAAATATCCATATACAATGCCACATTACCACAATGCGAACTCCTATTTTGAGGATCAAAACATGGAGCTCTTATTTTAATATTTTTCTATGTTTTACTCCCATTTAGAGATATTTCTTTAAATATTAATATACATTAAAGATATAAAAGTAAATAAGTATATGAGAAATTGATTGTTGATAAATGAAGACGATTCGCAGAACTAGGAAAGTAAATTATACTCCGTATAAGAGAAGGAGAATTGAGAATTGTGTGAATTTTAGAGAAGAAATAAGAAGTATTCATAGAAAAAAACTTTTTAGTGCCCACCCTCACCCAACGGCTATATAATCCTTTAGGCTGATAAAAAGTTTATTTTATTTTTAGTTCACACAATCAAACTTTATTTATTTTCATTACCGATTTTTGTTGTTTGATAAAAGAATAGAATAATGTCACTTTTTATTTTGTTAAACTTTTGAGTTTTGATATAACTTTTAAACATATAAATTTTATTTTTTAATATCATCCCTATTTCATATAAATTAAATAAAAAATAACTTCAACTAAATATCGTAAACTAAAAGAGACACTTTAAACTCGTATGGAGTATTAGTTTAATACTTAGCTCGCTGTCCCAAACTCGATAAGGAATAACCCGGTCTAACTAATTTACACCATCACATCTGTGTAGGATCAATGACCATTACAAACTTTAAGAAGTTCATGTTCTGCATCTATATCTTCATTCTATCTTCCACTGCAAATCACAGTCACACTACCCACATCTTCTTCCACTGTCCTAAAAAAGCCTATTTCTGATTTTTACACACTGAGACATGATAAAAAGCTATCTGCACCCCAACCCTAACCCCAAATTAGCACCTAATCCAATTTTTTGTTCACACACACATGACACCAAATTAAATGGGGTGTGGGAGGCAAAGTTGGTGGTAAGTATGGTATGGTTCCTGAGATAAAGTTAAAAAAAAACCCCGGGTGTAGAAAGAATCAAGATGCGCGACCTGAGGCAATTTCACAATCTTCAGAATTGAGGTTGACAATGGGCAGTGATTTATCAACATCATCCCCTGAATGGTCATTTCCTGATTGTTTCTCGTTTTTCTTTGAAGTAAATCGCCCCCCGCATCCCCTAGCCCTTCTTAGTGCATGCAAATGCCGCGATTCATGCAAGTATGGCTGCAAAGCATTGAAAATCTCTTTGTGAAAACAGATAAAACGTTACGAGCATGGGTTTTTAAGGGTCTGTTTGGAACCCAAAAAAGAAAATGCTAAGGATAGAAAATATATAGCTCAAAGTTGATAAATTTATAATGCTTGTCAAACATTATTTTATTATACTTCATGTCTTTTCTTATAAAAGACGAAAAAATCTATAGGGCGTGTAAAATAATTTCAAAAAAAAAAAAATCTCTGGCACTTTCTGATTCCTTTTCCTAATTTCTGGGCTCCAAACACATAGCACAATTGCATATTAGGAAAGCAATCACAAGAAAATGGTGGAAAAATGTACTACCTTCCTGGGCTTGAGAAGTTTGTTTACAGATTCAGCTTTGGCACGAGATTGTCGACGCCTTAATATGCCATGATATTGTTTTGCATTAACAAAGACAGGCTCTTCAAGTGCTGCATCTGATGGCAAAGGAACCCCAGGTACTTGTTGACTCCCCATGGATTGAAGATGAACCTGACCACAAGTGACTGTATATTTACCTACTACTTTAACACTGTGTGATGCTTTCGTCCACCCCCCCCCCC